ATGTATGTGACCCAGTAGCCTGGTAGATAACGTCTTGGAGGAGGACGACACTGGAAGACCGGTCTCCAGCTACTTCAAGCTTAACGATGGGAAGTGAAGTGGGGCTATATGTTGACCACTCTACCTACTTAGTGAGTTGCGTCAGTTCCAACCAGCTGGTTGCCGACGAAATCTCAACTGGGATAAAGAATGCCCGTTTGGTACCTGCTAACTTGTATCGTTTGTGGCACTGACTGGCAGAATATCCGACTACTTATCAAAAGAAAAAGCATACTGCGTAGCAGACTGTTCTATCCTGGTATATGACTGTAAGACATTAACATTAAAAACAGAAGACATGAAGCGGTTACAGGGTTTAAATCATGGGTGTCTTTGTAGGATTCCTCGCGTTTGTTGAAATCAATATATCAGAAACATTGGGGTCAAGCTAAAGGGTACAAGGCGAGAGGTTGTGAACCTTCATCGGTTGAGTCAGCTTGCACATGTCATGCTCATGCCAAGCCACTACTTACCCCAACATTCCATGCTAGATGTCAGATTGGGAAGGAAGAGAGTTCAGTGTAGCAAGACAAAACATGGCAGCAGTCAATAAAGTCGCTGAATACTCGAGGCGACACAGATGTCTGTAGTAATGAGGAGAACAGTGATAATGCCAACAGTGTGAAGCGATAGTTCAACACCTATATGTGTTGCCATACAAGGAAGACAGTTTACAGATACTTATGAGAATTCCCAATACAAATGGGATTACAGTGCCACTCAAACATATTAACCCACTTAAACAACTGGTCTACAAACGGAAATGTACCAATGAATTAATCAGGATAGATAATCTTATCCCCCATGATGACTGTGCAATTGAAGACATATACCAAAGTAGTCGACCAGAGTGAATTGGGAGGTCTGAGCAGGAGAATTTAGCTGTCACAACACTGTGGATCCTAACATGATAGAAAGATTTTGACGAATGTCCTACTAAAGTTTTACATGCGGTTGCAGACAAAAATGTACTGTGTTTTAACAGTGTGACAATCTTGAAAACAAACTTGTTTTTATTTAGGAAGGAATCTTCGTTTCCCAAATCGACACCAAGTGCATGCAACAGTAATGATTTAGTAACTGCTTCGTAAATAGTGAAAACTGTATTTTTTATAATATCAAGAAAGAGGGAATCGGGAACATGTAGGTGGTTCCTCAAGGTTCTAGAGTTTCTTTGATCTAATTACAGACGGCATATTCTGTCCTGAAAGTTATACAGTAAATACTGTTACAAGATATTCGTCCTAATTTCAGTAGTTATAATCAAAACCGATTAGATTCTCTTATTTAATAGTTACACTGGTGATGCTCAATGCGATGGCATAATGCTTATTGTCTAAACTTGAAGCACATAGAACAAGACAATCTGATAATAATTATACTCTCAAAGCCTGAAGATAAAGTATTACCTATTCATTTAATAGTTGTTTGTTGGCAAAAGTCGACTGTTCAAAGTAAACTTTATTCAAATGATAGACGTACCGAATAACAACTAACTGTCACTTGGATAATTAATTTTATTTATTACTTCAGCTTTGGCATACTAATTTACACTTAATGCTTTTGCATGCATCCTAAGGCGTAAAGATGAATCGGTTTTAATCCTATAGTTTTCCGTGATTGGACGACAAATCAATGCAGTCAAGCAGTCAATTATTATTCAGGAAGGAAGAGACAATATTACTCAGTGAATATTTGGTGGGATTACAGATAATGCCTTTAGAAGAATTATTAGTTTAAGTCTTCTACGTTCAGAAACGCAACTGGTGACTATTTTTCATCAAAACGATTACAAGGCCGTGCTTTAGTGCAACACGTCATATTGAGGTTTTATGTATTGCGTGATTATGTGGGGTATTAGAATGAAACGAACTGGATAAGCCAGATTATTCAATGTAAACGAAACAATAAATGCACTCACGACTGGTTTACATTTATTACTAATCAACATGACATATAGTTAGAATGGCTACGTAAAAGTAATTGGCATGCACTTTTGTGTTGGTCAGAAACAACGGTCAGGGACAGTTATGTTTGGCATAAGAAGATATTTTTGCGACCGTAACCTCTCTAACAAAGAAAGGATCTTATTCTTGTTAAGACAAAACTGTTAGAATATATTTCTGTGTGCAGTAGAAATACGTATTCTATAGGGTCTCATTTTAAAAATCTCTGAATTGTTCATTTCTGAATACCTTTAGCGTATCACTCAGAACAGAAATAGTTGTACTGGGTCTTTACTATCATTTTACCTATTTGAGATTAAACATGGTTTGGTAGACTAGTATTGATAATGGGTGATGATTGAAGACGAAGTGAAAATTTGGACCGCAGCAGGATTCAAACCAGTGACCACCAGGTTTCCGCCTCAATGTTCTACCAATTGAGCGAAGAGGTTCGACTACTGACTACAGTTTTATTTCACTTCAGTCGTCAAGGATTTTGTCCAACTACCATGTTTATTTAGTCATTAAGTTAGAATACCAATAGCCTATTGAACACTCAGTATGGAAATGCTTCGTAAAGAAAATGAAATGCACCATTCAATGCAATTCGTAAATAACAGTATGAACTGTAAATCATATTAATTACTATAGTAATGCTGTGCCTTCTTATATGTATATCCCTACTGTTTTATATTTAACCCAACACAAAAAACCAGGACATTTAACTCTTTAAACTGTTCGACTTTCCGCTGTAAGTGTACTTTAACTATTAGTAATCTCACTCGTACAGAGTATTCTATTTCCTTTTCTTCCGTCTGTAAGTATTGTGATTTTTTAGCAGTTTTAGAACAACCGAATAACAACTTGACTTTAATATCTTTAAATTCTGAGCACTTTTTATACCTCAATGGCGGTCCTTCATGAATAAAAACGTGAGTCAAGTATCAGTAGACAACAAGGCCATCATGATATTTATAACTATATTTACCAGAATACGAGAGTATTTTCATTTTCACTTAGCCTTTTGCTTATGATTGAATGTTACTTAAAAGGGCATTCCTTTTTTTGTCGACCATTTATCAGACTATTTATTACTTTCATTTTCTGGACATGAAGTTAAACTGTTCTTGAAATGATTATCCGCTCAATATGTTTTCCACCCCTAACTTAACATTCATAAATTACCACATTCCTTACTTGAGTGGCATAACTAACTGAATTCCACGAAGATTGATCCTACCAAAATCTCCCCTCTGGAATATTTTTGGAATGTTGGATTACAAGGTTATTGTACTAACTAATAATCTAAAATATTTGTTAGAAAAGGTTTGTTTACAACACGCTGAGTAATAAATATTTACCGCAATTTCTCGGCTTCGACATGCTTGCCGGATGATGACAGATGAAATAAGTGTCTTCTTAACATAATGGGAGATCACCGGTACAATTTAATATAGTCACTGAAAGCTTCCAATATGTGCTTGTATTACACGGTTAGAAGTACTGTTTAGAATTTAAAAAATTTGTACTATGCACTTAAGTCTACGTTATTGCAAGTGAGTTATCTTGACTAGGGGTTAAAAAATTGCCAGATGATCTAACTCAGTGTAAGCCACAGTCTGCCCATCATGTTATCTGAGGTAGATACACTGATTTGTAATGTGGTGCCTTTTGTGACTGTCTGATGATTCAAATTCTAACTGTTCAAGTAAAAATACAATTTGCACAAGCTTTCTGATACGCCTTTACTATAAACAGTCACGAACATATTCTATGTGTTTAGAGTCCCTTACAACGTCTACTATAAGTAAACACTGTAAAATCTGACACACTTGGGTTTTCTCTTATCCCATCCTCATATTTCGGAGTTATAGGTAACAACTATCAAATTGATTATCATTCAAGAAACTATGCAGTTTGAAAATATTTATTCTTTCTTGAACCAATGTCTACTTATATGTTTTACCACTTACTTGATATGTCACACATTTAGTTCCGTTGACAAATTCGAACAGTGAAAAAACAAAGATATTTACAAAACAAAATGAGCTCATCTCATTTCTCAGCTTTTCATTAGTTGTAAACAGCTTGCAGCTGAAACGAAATATTAGTAGTAATAATGACGTAGCATACTTTAAATTTGTGTAATTAAATGGTGATTTGAAATCCAGGAAAACCAATAAGGTGTTGAGTGAAGGAAATACAGGACAAATAATTACGAATCTTGATCAAAATTGGTGACAATTTATATCTGATGCGATGGAAAATGTTGAGGCTATGGAGTGAGAAATGGGAAAACAAATGAAAACCATAGTCAGGGAAAAGACTATTTAAGAGCTAGTAGATCGACTAGTTACCTGAAAAACTGGGAAATCGTTAAGTAATTAATAATCAGTCAATGATTAATGAACTAATGACATAATCAAAACAAGGAAGACTATACACATACGCTGTCAAAAACTATATACGGTTATCAAGGTTAAGAACAAAGTTTGATAGCAAAAGCTTCTGCAAACCGTAATGAATATAGCATTCATTGTATGTTGATTATCGTGAAGGATTGAGAAATATCTATCCAATGTCCTGTTTCCATCGGGTGCGTGGTGATTACACTCTTAAATACCTTACTACAAGCATATTCCGAATAATCTATGTTTATAAGGTAGAACTTCCATCTTTGAAGAAGTAAATGGGTGCCATTTATGAGTAATATCAATTTATTAGACTACAGAGTTCATAGGTCTTGTTTTAGAAATCGAAAAGCGTATTTATTCCTTAATTGGATGTAAGGGCAAAAGAGTCTTACTCTTCAGTTTTATTATCTGATCTCTTTTTTCATGTAAGGAAAAAACATGAGATGGAACAGTTTATCATTAAACCAAAAAATATGTATTATCGTTGTTACCTGCCATTTCAAAGTTCATTATTCTTTCACACTAAGAGGTTATAGCTTTCTGGTTTCCATCCACAGTTTTACTTATTAAAATATCCAGACTTCATTTGATTGTTATTTAGGTTGGCTAGAAGACTTAGCGCGGCGACTTAAATCTCCATTCGATGTGAACAAATCTGGTGGACCTTCAGAAGGATCAAAATATTTTACTGCATTATACTTTACATGCAGCAGTCTTACTTCTGTTGGCTTCGGTAATGTTTCAGCAAATACAACGAATGAGAAGATTTTTGCAATTTGTATCATGCTTCTTGGGGGTAAGTAATTTTCGTTCAAGTAGCAAGTACCTTTTTATATTATTACTTTTTCAGCAAAAGCTGTAAGGCTGATGAAAATAAGGTTTGGGAATTTAAATAACTCAGTTAAAGATACTTTTTTTGAAAAATTATTTACTTCAGGTGCTTAAAGCTTACCAAGACCTAAAAGAGTGTGACTATACTTAAATTTCACTCGTCTCGTAGGTGTGAAATCAGCCTTTAACATAAATTTTATGATCCAGAAGTGAAAATTTACTTATAATAATAGCACTGTCACAAATAAACAACATTTCAAAACAAAGATGTTCGGAGCTAGTAGCCATATTTCTAATATTGTATCAAAAATTGACTATACTGCTAAAATGGGTTGAAAGATTTGGAAAAAAGAGCTTCCAACCTTTCTTGTTGCGAGACATTAAATGTAAAGACCGCATTTTCTCCCAGCGTCATGGAAGAAAAAAGAGTTTAGAGTTTGACTTATTTATTACTACCAAGTATTTTATTGTAATCCCAGCTTGGATATGGCCTGAATGTCGTTAAAATGGAAATCCTTCAGTCATCTTCAGGCATATATTGGGTCTACATACAACAAGAAATATTAAAGTCATCTCAAATGATTATCTAGACATAAGTTTGAACCAGGGTGGTTGATGATTTTGTCTCAATATGTAGGATAACATGATACGCTATGGTATCAAGTAAGTAAGTTGTTTGACATAATAATCTCTATATATGCGCCTATTCATTTAGTTTATTTCAAGAAGTTCCATGTAGTCTGAGTTTCCTTCAGTAATTTGTTATCCCACTGTCGACTTGACACATGGATCAAGGGATACGTAGATCTAAAGAATCAGTAAGTAATAGTAATCCAGTAAGCAATACTAAATCACTGTGTCATATCAAATGTACAACCCAGTATGGAAGTAGTTTCACTTTATTTTTATGAATCAAACATGATCAGAAGACTTTAGTCGACTGTATACTTTTAAAAAGAAGTCACCTAATATTTTTCTTCTGCGATAAGTTTTTTGAACTTATAGTTTTCGCTATGAACCGACGCATAATCCAAGTTTCAATATGGATTCATGTTATCCTTTGATAACTCCCACCTTAACTGTTTCGTTGTGGTTGGTAATATTAAGACTATCATGAACATATTTCAATAATTTTGTTTAGTTTTGAGCTGGAGAACTCGTTAAAAAACCACATGACTATATGTAATGAATTTTGCACAATTATTGTTCAGTCCTAATGCAGTGAAGAGCATTCGAAGTTTACTGATAAACAAAACTAGCAATTATAAATCATTGTTGCCAATCTGGTGATTTTTTAGCTCGAATTAGAGTGGTCTTAAACATAGAAAACGAATATTTTTATCCTTTGAGAGTGAGGTTATTATTTATGCACCTTAACCAGTGCATATCATGAAACTGAACTATTCCGATGTAAATAATATGACTATTTGGCTATAACGAACTGGTATAGCACTAAGCAAATGAATGATTTTAAAGCTATCTACTGAAAGTATGATTAGTTTCGACGGTAGAGTTCTTTCCAGTGGTCGCATTCTCAAATTTTGACCATAACAATTATATGCAAGCTTCATAGATGAAAAGCTGAACATATGAAAAATAAGGAAGATAGATATTAATCAAACCTTAGGGAAAAATGGGAAAAGATACTAACGTTTAGATAACCATGAAATAATTAAAAAATGCTCTGTTTTGGAAAGATAACGAAAACAGAGAAGTATTGTTATTGTATAAGAAGTAATAGAAGTCGGACGTAAAGAAAGAGGTTAAAACGTCAAAGATAATGGCAAGAGAGTAGAGTAGGCTAGATAGGTTTCTTTGAAATGCTTGTCTTCTGATTCTCGATGTTAATAACAGTGGCTTGAGAAAAAATAAACGCAATGACACTGCTTTTCAAATTTCATTTTACTTGTCTGTAGATAAATTTGATAGACGAGGTAATTTAGTCTGTATAGTCATTTGTTTTGTCTAAGACGACGATGATAATCCAGTTACTGAAGAATAAAGAAAATCAAATAATGATTTAAGCGCAGCAGTGGAAATTGTCTACACTCTTAAATCATTCATTCTTATAAAAAAAATCATAAAAGCAAAGTCTCAGATGATAAATAATAAGGCATCAGAAATTATACCATTCTAAATGGTGGATTACATACTGAAATTCAGAAAAGATATCACATCCGATAGTTAGATTCTCTTGTTTCCAACACCATAGATTACGGTGGAAGGAAAAAATTATCATATTTGATGGATAACATCTATGATTACAGCTGAACTTGCTTAAAGCTATTCAGAGGAAATATTAACCCTTTAGTTTGATAAAAACAAAAAAGTCTGAAGTTATTAAGTTACTGGTCAAAGAGATATTCATGTCAACATGAATTTAAAAATAAATAAGTATAAAATTTACCTTTGCGCGAAAGAAAGAATAAACAACAGAGAATTGATTATGGCAACGAATCAACCAAGAATCTATTGCTCAACAAATATCCAGAAGGAAGTGGAGATGGATTGAGCATACACTGAGAAGACCGACTGAGGACATCACGTGCCAGGCACTCGAGTGAAATCCAAATGGGAAACAACGAGTTGGGTGTTTGAGGTGAGGGTGACATGAAGGAGATCATGTGAGGAAGAAATGAGAGCTTCTGGGCATTCGTGACATCAGGTTGAAAAGACCGCAGAGTCGAACGGAGGCATGCTACTAGAGCCCTATGTTCTACTATGAACCCAAGGGAAAAATAATAATAATAAGTATAAAATTTGCAATTTACCACATGAATTCAGGTTTTGTTAAAATGATCACTTCTCAAACCGAGTAAAAATATGAAAATGTAGGTTAGGCAAGAAAATGATAAGCTTCTGTTAACTTTCATATGAAATAATTTCCACATTCATATTTGAAGTACATTAAGTAGTGATTTTCGACCAAGAAATATAAGTTACAAGGTGGAATCATTTAGAAATTCACAACTTAAAAATATGATACAACTGTTTAACGGAGATGTCTAACTCTGTCCACACTGAACTTGCTATTACGGTATAGCAGTCTAACTAGCTACATCTTATATTAGCTTACCATGAGTAAAGTAAGTAACTCAAAATGAAAATAATAATTTCAAGAGCAGCAGAAGGCCTCCAGGATAAGTGGAAAAGGCAGTATTATGAACTGTTATCATTTCTGAGATGTCATATAGAATCTGTAATCATCAGACTAGATTGTTACGTAATCCTTGTTCAGGAATAAGATCTCAAGGCAAATGAAATAGATAGATAGTGATGAATAATACTGAATGTTATTTCCGCCTACCTCAGCTTTTTAAATCTAATCTTACTATACTTATCAAAGAGCACTGAAATAGCTAAAGGTGCATACTTCAACTATGTCAGGCGACTTACTGGTTTTCACCATTAGTCTGTTATTGTACATACCTCCTTCTGGATTCCTAAAGCAGTCTTTCACCGACGCTGTGTGAACAGCGGTGATCGAATTTATGCAACAGTAACCAATCCTTCTTTCTGAATAACTTTATTTCAGGCGTTTATTTGAACAGAAGTTCACTGTTCAAACCTAACTCAATAACTAAGATTTAATCTTTGTATGAGGAGATTAATGACTTCATGGTATCAATAATCGGTGATTTTTCAGTCAAAATAATGCTCAAAGCATTCTTGTACAATGTCTATTCCTTCTGTGATACTCGTTAATCTGTAAGCCTCATTTATTTTCTATACAATTACATTATGAAACTAAAAGTTAACTCCTGAAACCTTCTGATCTTTTCTATTGGTAAACTTTTTCCCACGAATAATATTTCAGGAGATCAATTTTAACTTTTTCACCCTTCACTGCGTATTTTTTATTAAACATGAATACTGTGAAATGCAGTTTTAGACGGCAGACAAGTGTTGCATTTCAGTAGCGACAAAAAAAACAAATATCATTTCCATGGATGAAAGAGATTTAGAGTTTAACCTTTAAAAAAACTAACAGCTACTGATCATGAATATAAGTAGTATAATCTCCTCAGTATTTATACACCATTCTAATAAAATGTCGAAAGTTCATTCCCATCATATATTTGGATTATAGCCAGCTGAGATATAACAAATTCTATCTAACGAAAGAAGTTATTCCGAATACTCTTTGATAAATTAATTAGCTAGAAGATTGTTCGGTTAAAAATGATGACCTTTTCGTAAATTTAAAGACGGAATATATGAAAAAATTAACACTTACTTCATTTTCATTACGAAAGCAAACCTTTTCTTCTAACTCCAAGTAAAGAAAAAATTCTAGTCAGGCGGTTCGTTTCATGCACCAGAGTTTTGCTCCAGTTTAGCTTCATAAACCATTCTGCAAGTGTATTCTTGATAAATGTAATAGTGCTATGTTAGAATAAAGTTTTACAAGTTAAATAATGGGGAGAAAGACAAAATGTGCTTTACCTAGACATCATCTATCAAGAGATAAAGATCTCAGCTTTCTATCCTTGTCCAGAATTTAGATTTTACCTTTTATAATAACAAAAGTGTACATGGGTTACTAACATGATCACTTGTCTTTTGACATAGAAAAGCGTAGCAAGTAAAGTGAAACTTATGAAGAAGGAGTTAAATGACCAAATTCACTTATTTCTACTCACGGATAATACATATCTGAATGTCTTATAAGAAAACTTCTTTTCCAGTGTAAAATATCAGTTTTTACGTCAGTCAGTGTAACTAAATAAACACTATGCCGTAGTCGGCGTTAATAACTAAGCAGTAACTGAAAATAATTCCTCATTTGTAGAAGTGGTTGATCAGAATCACAGCGTTTTTTACTTAATTCAATACGCAGTTAGTTGTAATCCGTAGTGCTAGTTGACTGCGCTTCAATGTCAAAAACTAAATTAAGAACATGTGCTCAAATCGATCAGCCGAGATCCCATCGGAAATCAGCGATAAAAACATAACACTGATAAT